ACAATTTGTAAAGGATGAAAGTGAGTATTTGGTATGACCGCCTTTATTCTTCAACTCAACCTGAGCTCTCTTAGGCAAGCTTTTTGCAATTTATCCAAGTAGTCTTCAAGAATAGTGCATTAGGCTTGTTGAAGGATATTCAAAGCTCTTCTTTGGATGTTGGCCTTCTTTTGTTCTGTTCTCTGTCAAGAAATCTGTCGAAATCTGGGCTCTAACTATCTGGGTATCTAACTATGCCTTTTCAGTGTGTCTGAGATCATCGGCATGCTTAAAAATAAAGCAGTTATCAGTCAGACGTTTTTCAGATGGTATTGCATGGTCGATCAAAATCTGACAAAGCTTTTCTACTTTCAGAATCACATACATTTTCCCCAACATCACAGGCAACACCGCTCCAAACCATGACTTTGAGACTCCACTGCGTTTTACCAGTGACTGTAGACCCTCACTGTTGTACCTCTCTCCTGATCTCCTACATAAACATTGATGAGAATCTGATCAAACATTTTAAATTTGGATTAATTACTGAAAATCAGTCCAGTTCTTGTGTAATCTGGCATACCTCAGCCTTTTCTCCCCAGTTTCCCTTCCTGAAGAGTGGCTTTTTGACAGCCACTCTTCCACTGAGACATTTCTGAAGAAGCTTCAGTGAACAGCAGATGGATAAACTGGAGATGGATTTGTCAGGAATTTGCTTTTATTTCGTCTTGTTACTTTGGGACATGACTCTCAGGTAATCTTCATCGATTGTAGGGAGTTTTTAGAGCCACCATTTCTTCCTTCACTTGTTTGGTTTCTTCTTCTTTTTTTTTAGAGGGATACACTGCACATCATTCTGAGAGATGACACATTTTCAGCTAATAGCTAGGAATCACCTTGTTTGTGCAAATATATTATTTCATGCTTGTCAAACTGTGTTATCTTTGGCATTTGTTGCAGATTCAGCCAAAGAAATGGGAATATATTGGATGTTTTGGTGGCAGGCTGCAAGTAGCAGCGCCTAAAGACATAATTAGAATTGTTTTTTTGTTTTTTTGCTAAGCTGTATTTCAACAGTGTTGCATTATCTGTGGACACAACACTGGGTCATCTCTTAAGTGGCTCTTCTATGGTTTGCTAAAAGTAAAATTGTTAAGCAGCTTAATAAACATTCATCATTCAATTAAACTATAGCCCATGATAACTTAAAGTCTGTTTTTAGAGCAAAATCCAAAGAAATGAGGAGTGACTCAAGAGTTTTAAATACGATTCTCGTTATTTTCAGTGCTTGTTGATAAAAATTGGAAAAAAATATATATATATCTGTCTGCATGTGACAAAGCAACACTGAAGAAAGAAAAGTGTGCACACATGAAAAAAGATATCAGTAAACATTGTTTGGTTTTAAAATAAACAGCCTGGTGGAAGTAGAGTGAGGAAGAAGAAGATTGTTGCACAAAAAATTGAAATAATTTTTAGCCCTCAAGATTTAATACTCATCTATCCTAATAGGAGCTAAAAGGCTCAGTCTGACATGAGATTAAACATATACAAGTATCAGGCTTACCTCATTGACCTCTAAGGCAGCAATTTTCCCTTAAGATGAAAAACATTTTAGCTTTTGTTCCGCTATTGCCCTCACTGATTTTTAACAAACCACAACTATAAACCAACCACGGCAGGCAAGTCCTCTACTGCCACCTACTGGTTGTAATTTAATGTAACGGCAGCTGTTACCTCTGACAAATACAAAATGCCTTCTGTGTACCTGATGATTGATTGGTGCATGGATGTGTGCAGCTTATCTGAATTTGGGCTTGTAAAGACATTTCAAAATGTTTATAAAATTGCAGCAAGCAACCAAAAGTGACATAAAATAACCACAACAAGATGCAAAACTACAAAGACAAAAAGTGATGGACTTAACCAAAGAGAGAAACACACACAGACGCGCTAAAGTGATGCTAATGCACAAACAACCTAAAAAAGAAAAGGTGTGAATCAACAAAAAACTGAGGAAAATAACAACAAAAGGATGAAAAACGGCTTCAGAGAGATCTGAAATGCTTCATGCTAACTGTTGGAAATGAATATGATTGAAGAAGAAACGACAACAAAGGCAAAGTCTTAATAAAAATTAATTAAACTAAATCAGACATGCATTTAAGTGGCATTAATGAGCACAAAGAAAGAGAAATATGACAACACACAGTGCCTATAACACAACAGTATAGGACAGGGGTGTCTACCTCAAGGGCCGGTGTCCTGCAGGTTTTAGATATCACCCTGGGTCAACACACCTGAATCAAATAATTAGTTCATTAGCAGGCCTCTGAAGAACTGCAAAACATTTTGAGGAGGTAATTTAGCCATTTAAATCAGCTGTGTTGGATCGAGGACACGTCTAAAACCTGCAGGACACTGGCCTTTGAGGCCTGGATTAGACACCCCTGGTATAGGGTACCAAATCAAACCTCTGGTTCACTAAACTGCTGAAATCCTTGGTAATAATAAGGTATGTGTATGTAAACACTGTATGTGTTTCCAAATCCTGACAACAACCCAAACCCAGGAAACTCGTCTCTATGTCAGGCTGATTATGTTTCCATTTGCAAACAAGCTTACAAAAACACAAAGCAAAAAGCAAGCATCAGATTTAATCACAAGGTTGCTTCACCACATCAACTTCCATCTTGCATCCCCCCCTCTCTGTTGTTATGTCATGTCTGATGTGAAATCACTAGTTCCTACAAAAAATGGACTCTGAATATAGAACAACTGCTGCTTAGTTTTGACTCCCCTCATGATGCACACAGCAACTGAACAACAGTAAGAGCAACAATCGGCTGTGTCACGAATATTTATAAAAGCTTGATTAACTCCATTTATAACTAAAAGTGCACACTTGGAGTAAAAGTCTATTATTAGTGTTTATTTTCATAATAACCTGGATACTGGGGGAGGTTTTCTAATAACAGCTGCTTATATGCTGTCTAATCATCCTCTTCAAGCTTTCAAAATGCTGTTAGAAAACTCTTTTTGTTGCTTTGCGTCCTCATAATCCCCACTGCATATTTCCCCTCTAATTGTACATTAAAGCTGGAACCAGCCATGCATATAATCTGTCATTTGCTCATGGGTGAGTAAGATAATTGCTAGATTGCATGGATTCATACTCATAGATTGCAATTCTTCTTACCACTCAAAGGACACATGATGATTTTTAATAATAATGGCTCATAACTCAATAGTTTATGAATGGCTGATCTCAGGAGATATTGTGGTCTGCAGCCCTGTGGGCTTTCTGGCATTGTAAAAATGTTTCCTGGTCTCACAGCGCCACCTGGTGATACGTCTTCATTTAGATTTAGGATATCCAAACAAAACGGAAAAAACTCTCTCATTTTTAGTATTTTACTCTGTTTTGAATCGGTGCCAAAAACTATTACATTACTTTTTTTGTTTTACATACGTTATACATTAAAACATCTCTTTGCAGATAGCTCGATTCAAAAGTTACAGGATGTCTTCTACTACCACTTTTAGGTTAGATGACAGTGAAGTTTAAAGCATCCACACTTGTATAAGTGGCTTACTTATTATCCCAGATACATGTGATTGATTACAGCGGTATGTGAATAAATTCTGAATGTCTTCTTTACTCCAAGATTATTCGTATGCTCAGCATTTTACTGTCTATCAAGTCGTTAGATACCTGAGTCTGTAATGAGTTGATTGAGTTCTTGCAGCTGAACTATAAACTCTGATGTGGGTTGATAACATGCGTGTAAAAGAAGATTTAAGTAGCTTTAAGTCCTCTTGCATACATAAAGTAATGGAGTGTCATTTTTGGACTTTTCCCACTCATATCATTCCTCAAAATATATATTGTGCTGCTTCTATACAGTATTACAATATGGATGAAGCTTCCAGGTCAGAAGCCTTGAACCTGCATCCTATCTGAAGGCCAGCAGATGGCGATAGATGTGGCTGCAAAAAACATTTCCATTCAATCTAAGTCTATGGGAAAAGGGCTTTCTTGTCTTATCTTAATGCTTCAGCAGACTTTTCTGCTGAGCTTATGTGTTCAGTCCCTCATTTTGATTCATATTCTACAAAAAAAAAGTTTTCTTTTTCATCATTATGAGGGAAGTCTGTCTCTTTTACTGTTCAGATAATCTCAGTAGCTGCTTGATAAACACACGACTTATATTCATATATTTATATAAATATTCATAGAAATATTCATTTGCATTTTTTTTCTTTTTTTGATATATTTATAGATGGAAAGACCTCCGGTGTTACTCGAAACCTTCTGAGGAAACGACCTTACAGAAAATTTCCATCAGATGACTAACAAAACAATCCAGTCAGTTTGAATTGCTGTCTTACATTTTATTGTGATGGGGAGTCATAGAAATGGAGCAAACCTAAAATAAAAACAATACAAAAAGACAGTGGATTTACAAAGGGTGCGGAGAGGACAAACAATATGCAGCCTTCAACAGTACAATGGAACAAGTTGGCACAGAACGGAAAACAGGGTGACGGGACGTTGGAAATTTGGCTTCAAAATAAAAAGAAATTTAAAAAGGGGAGGAGTAACGTCTTCATAACAAGATCCTTCATTTAAACGGCGACGACTCATGCTTTTAAAAAGTTTTAGAATTCAGTAGCTTTATAACGACGCAAAGAGCGGATGCACATGTAACAGTTTCTATTTGTCACTTCATTCCTGTTTTTTTTTCTTTGTCTTTTTTAGCTTAAAACAGAAGTCAAGTTTACAGAATACATGTTTTATATTTTTAGGTTTTTTTTCCTTTAATGTCTTTCTTTTTTTCATTTTTTGTTAAAACAAACTTCATTTCCCAGAACCACATTTTGGGATTTATTTTTTTTTGTTTGTCTCGAGATTATTTTTCATACTAAAATATATTATTGTATCAATTCAAACTACAGTAATGTACACTACAATGTGTAATAAATAACCATAAAAGAAAATATAAAAATAAGACACATAAATATAAAAAAGTCTTCTAAAAACTAAACAGGTATATTTTTTTTAATCTGTGAAAAGGGTTCTAATACTGCCATTGTTGACAAAAACATACAGAGGACATACTTTTAAAACAAAAAAAGTAAAACAGATTAATACTATAAACACTGTCTGGTAAAACCAAAGCAAAACTCTTCAACAGAGACCACATTCACTAACGCTTGTTACCTCAAGTGCGGGACAGCTTGCCACAATGAATTAGTTTCTTTTAATCGTCATCTGAAAATAATAAGTGCACAAGTGAGACTAACTTACTGAGTCTCTCTATCATTGTTTTATACTTTAAACTTTTGTGGGTTTGGTCTGGTTTATCTCTTCCTGAGCCGACCTGGTGAGGCACATTACTGAGTTTGAGTGTTGAGGGGTTCTTAAAAATTTGGATTTATGCAGTTCGAAAGTTGGAAACTGATTATCTTACATTAGAAGGCATTTTAAAAACACTGCTCTAAACCTCACACTTTGGACCTACAAGCTGCAGCCATTGGATACTGATGAGTTAGTAATTCATAACAAAAAAGTTTTAGTCAAGAGCAAATATGCAATTTTAAGTACCAGGAACAAAAGCAGAACCTTTAGACATGCCTGTAGATTTAATTTACTAATAGAAAAGTGCTAAACATTCTCTGGCTTTAACTTGTTTTTCAAAAAGACAAGTTAATCATTGTAAACTAAATAATTCTAGCTTTTAGTTTGGCAGATAAAATAAAACAAGACGTCACCCCCAAGTGGGCTATTTGGACAAGGGGTCTGTCTTTTTACAGACAAAACAGCCCAAATACTGTTTCTCAAGTGTCCTTCTTTGTTGCTGTGACAAATCTGCTGTTCTGTGCAAGTCAACAAACATTAGTCAACATGGCTCCTGTGTAAGTAACAGAGGGACATAATACTGGCTACATGTGTGAGGAAAAAAAATAATAACACTGTTCAATGGCACTTTTAACAGCACACAGGTCTTGCATAAGGCTGGAGGCATTGGGGTGGAGCAGGAAAAAAAGCCCCGATCCTTCACGTACAGTTTGACTTCATATATAAGCCGATAATACTGAAACACTCGCTGAGAACTAAAGTCAACCAAAATAAGGAGAAGCTTGGTAAGAACAGGCGCGTCTGTTTTGGATCCACAGCCGAGCCACGAGGTCGGAGTCTGCTTTTATGTCTTCACCTGGAGACTCCACCCGTCCGGGCAGTGCTGCGCAGCAAAACAAAGGTGCGCCATGCTGGCTTTGAGGTTGTGACTCTGCCTTCCCTGATAGGACAAATTTGGTTATGGCGTACAGAAGCCGCATTCTCATCCCGGACTCCCCATCCCACCCCCCAACCCTCCCCAAGAATACTTTGTTTTCCTTAAGGCTAACAGTCAAACTGAAATCAACAGTAATGCTAGCTAGCAAAGAGTAACACTAACACAAACAACATTTCGCTAGCTAGTGTACATATATAACACTGAAGGGCATACAATGCATGAGGCATGTATCCATAGGTAAACCAGGAATACTGTAGTGCAGAGGTTTTTGTTCGTAGAACTCAATAAAATACTGATTTTAGGAAACTTCATTGGCAATAAAAAGGTATAGAAATCTTTCTCATCTTTAAAGGTTAAAAGGTTTTCAAACAAGAACACGATTAGTTAACACTGATTGAATGAAAAGAAAAGACAAAGCAACCTGGGATGTCTCAGTAACAAGTCTAATGAGTTGATGGGTGAGTTCTACTTTAAAATCTGTACTTCTATAAACAATTTTAAACACTGATATTTCATTTTCACAAAGAAAAAGTCACGTTTTTTCTTTTTTTCTTTTTCTTTTTTTCTTTTTCCAAGTTCAGGCACACCTGGGTTTTTGTACACAGTAGTGGACCGTTAAGATCAGGCAACTGCCGTGACTTTCTTCTGATGGCAAGATGTGGTTTTTGTCTAAGATTACCCGACTTCAATGACCGACACACTCAAACTGTCCCGAGGAATTTTCTTCCTTCATTTGGTGTCTGTCACCGCTTCCTCTGTTGTTTCGGTGTTTCCTGTCCCGTCCCTGATGCTGCTGTCTGTATTGACTTCACAGTCTGCCGCTTTCTCTGCATCCACACTTGCTGATTCCTCCTTTTCTTCGGTTCTTTCCTCCATCTCGGCGTCCTCCACGTGGTCATCTCCCAGCTCCACTTCTACTACGTCACAGGCAAACTCCTGCTCCTTCTCTTTTTCAGTCTCTTCTTCTTCTGCTGTCGCCTCTTCCTCTGCTAATTCCTCTCCCTCTTCCTCCTCATCATCGTCGTCAAAGTTACCCTCGTAGATCTCGCACTCGCCGTCGTCCACCTGCACCACCCGTATGTCGTCCATGCAGATGGCCTCGTCTTCCTCTTCCTCACTCTCCCTCTCGTCTGAGTCCATTTGGGAGGGCGGGGTCGTGGTCCGGCTGTCTGACTGCAGTCTGCCGCTTGGGCTGCCGAGCTCTGACTGATCCCTGGGTGGCCCCGAGCCGGAGCCCGAGTTTGGCCCGTCCTTCTTGCAATAGGAGTAGCGGTGATTCATATGCTGGGAGTACGAGCCTGAGTGAGAGAAACGCTTCCCGCACTTGTCGCACTGGTAAGGTTTCTCACCGGAGTGCAGCCTCGAGTGTTCGATCAGGTGGTGTTTGTGTTTGAAAGCCTTCTTGCAGACGTTGCACTCGTGGGGTCGTTTTCCTGCAGATGAAACCAGAGCGCGTTAGAGAGGAACTGTGCTTCTTTGCCTGCATTAAGTGTAACAGAGTATAGAAAAAAATATTCAAAGCAAGTGTTCCTTATTTTGGTTTGATTTGTTTTATTATTATTTATTATTTTGTTGTTTCACTGCCTGTGGCACGCTTTTATACTTGTAATGAAATGCACTATATAAATAAACATGCCCTGCCATCAATCAAGCTTGCGTGTTCATTCAAATAAACATAAGCAGGTTTGAACAATTCAAATATTACATAAATATAATTAAAATGGCATAAATAAATGAATGCGTTTGTAACTATAATAATTAGGTGATACAGAATAGAGATTTGTTACCGTAGCTAAACATCTGTCTCTTTGTCAGCATGAATATAACAATAAAGATTTCACACAAGTTTGTTTGTCCACTTCACTGTCCTTGTACCAGCAGCAGTGCAGGCCTATCTGAGGTTTACACTGGACAGGTAAATAAGACTGCAGCCGAATCACAGGTCTCTTTAACACAAACCCAGATGCATTAAAGGTACTCTGCAGTGAGGGAAGCAGACAGCTGCTGGCAGTGGCTGTCACTGCCATCAATCTCCAGATGCACTACAGATAAAGATTAACATGCATGACTAAATCTAGTTAATTTACATGATGAACCTAAGGGCTCATGTTAATTATATGCATTGTACCTTTAAATTAAAAACAGACAGAAACTGCTGCTTTATTTCCCAAACAACTGAATGTTTAACTTTAAGATTTACTAGTGCCAGTTCCAAAAATGTGAATATTTCTAGCATTTCTTCATTGGGAGCCATATTATACTAAATATCAGTTGGAGTTTGTTCTAGCAAAAACATTTTGGAAATACAACAAAACGCCTAAAGGCAAAACAATTAACTATGAAAAAATAACCTGATACTTTACAATCCATTGGGAGAATTACACAAATATATATATATATTTTTTAATTTGCTCAAATCAGGGAATCAGAAGTTTAAATTGTTAAAAAGCAAAAAAAGCTTGGGAGCCAATGTTTGTTTTAAGTATTCAGAACTCTCAGCACCTGGAAAAGTAATTGCTGACATACCCATACAAAATGATCAAAGCCACACATTATCAGAGGCTTTTATGAAACAGACTTTAAAGTGTCTTTAGAGTATAGCGTTTAATAGTTTTTAACATCCCCTGCCAAAAGAAAATCTCACTAACAAAGCTCATATGTTATAAGAGTACGGCCAATTTGTAAGTATAAGGATGTTTTCTTTCTTTCTCTTTTCTTTCCTTTTTTTAAAGTGGATGTCAAGGCTGAACCAAAACACAGTAGTGCAGAGTAAAGATAACCGCTAACAGATTTGAATAAAACCACTGCCAATATGATGCTACCTGGAGCTACTAGGAAAACATCCTTTTTAATTCACCGCACGAGTTACGTGTCTATAAGCACTGATGACAACTGGGACATTTACAGGCCAGGTGTCCCATAAAAGTCTCAGAGTACCGCGTAGTTAACGAGGGATGATGTCACACGTAAAAACACAGCCTTCAAAAGTAGAACTCTTTTGAGAAGTAACAGAAATCCTGCTTAATAGACTAAAGCTGAAAAATTCACTTAAACAAGACGTACCTGTGTGTTCATATTTGTGCCTGAGCAGGGAGCTGCCCTTCTGGAAGACCTTGGAACAAAGATCACAGGGGTAGACGCCATTTTCTAGCCGCCGCTTCTTCATCGCCACGGCTGAATCTGAGTCGTTCTGCTCCTCCACTGTGGAAACACCCTCGGAGCTGCTCTCCAAACGCTTCTCCTGTTGTAAACAGAATTACAGTATGTCGGAGTCACATTATTTACTCTCCCATCCTACCCTTCAGGAAAGCTAGTTTCACCATAAATATTGTGTGACAGGTATGTGAAGAGCTCATTCTTTGACTGAGTTGTTCTTGAAAATGTTTTCCTGAGAGCCTGCAGTGAAGCTCTTCACTTTAGAGGTAGATAATTCTCCTAGTGTGAATACTCTAACTTACTGAGAATTAAGCAGCAACAATCATGGGTGGAAATGTGAAGCTAAGACCCGAGTGCAAACACAAAAAATCCTCTAGGTGACACTATAGGCTGGCTGCAAAAGCAAGTCGATACCTTAAGACTCACATTTAAAATGCATGTTTACAGCCCTGCACATATAACAGCCTCGTATTTGAGCTCTTTGGATAGTTTTTCCCCTTCATAAGAACTCGTCCCCCCTAACTCAATCATCTGGATAATCATTAAGGTTTAAAGATATAGATTAACTAATGCTGGATTAACTGAGCTGTCTCCCCTTTGCTAATTTAAGTCAATGGCTGCTTGGCCCTGAGCGTGGTTCTGTTGGAGATTTTTCCTCTTAAAAGGGAGTTTATCCTCTCCACTGTTGCCATGTGCTCACTCACAGGGGGTCGTTTGATTTTGGACATTTTCTGTCTATTATATTAGCGTCGTTACCTTACAAAATAAAGTGCCTTGAAGCGACTGCTGTTGTGATTTGGTGCTATATAAATAAAACTGAACTGAACTGGATAGTTCGACCCACATCTACTGATGAAATTCATGCTGCGGTGCACTGTCCAGATGGTTTCTATCAGCAGCTCCACAGACACGAGGTTTCATGTTTAAGTAAATTTGGTTTGAGGATATCGTATTACTCAAAGGCAGTTTGGGTGTTCTACAAAGTCATCACATGTAACGAGGACAGGATGTTATTGAAATGTTTAATGAGTTCACGGGGCTACTGCCATCGATTGAAACTGAGCTAATGGTATTGGTGAAGTAGATAGGAACAGTTCAAGTTAATGGAATCGGAGAATTACCTAAAAACTAATGAGTCATTACTGGTAAAATAATGACTTCAGGTCATCGTAAGTGGCAACCGCAATGCTAACGATGTCTGGTACATTCTGACTCTGACTGGCTCCAGCTCAAGTAACTAATGTTTGTTGCCGTTTCTTATATAGCATATAACGGCTTCTTGCAGACTTTCATGACTGCTTTGTGGCTTGACTACCGATTCTCACTTTGACTGCTGAACTCAGCATGTCTCAGGCTTTTGGAATTTTCTATTTCTCTTGACGCACATTTCTTCAGTTTTTTTGTGTTGAAGGACTGACACTAACAGGATGCTTTTTATTTTGGGTTAACGCTGGTACTTTCCACAGCAAAATGCACCTAAAGGTAGCATGTTAGTCTTTCCAGTAATCTATAGATGCTTAGTTTGTAAGTAGTTTGTTTCAGTGTAAAAGGAAACAACCCTCACTCCCTGCAAAGAAACTTGATTAAAAAAAGAAATAGTCATTGCAATAATCAATTCTGGACTGGTCAAAAGTGAGAATTTTCTCCTTTTCTTCAATTTCCAGTTAAAGGGGAAAATTTTAGTTACATAAAACAAATAGTGCAGTGTCAAGTTAGGCTCTGGGAAAGTCGTATAGAAATTTGAAGAACTAACTAACCAATAAAAACTGCAAACTGCAACAACAAGGTTTTTATACCTCTTCCACTTCAGTGTTTTTGGGGTTTTTTGTAATTAAGACTTATGTATAGTCGACTCTCCAGGTACTGAATTTGTCTCGGTACAAATAGACACATACTCTTTGCTTCAGTACTTCAAAGTAGGCGTGCATGACAAGCATTCACTTTAGGGAATCAAACAGAGCTCTAATTAGAAACTTCTTGCTAACTTTTTTTACATATAACATGGTTATCACTCGCCGCAATGATCAGCTTCCCATTTATTCTGATGTTGGATGACAGACTACACAAGCAGCTATGTCTCGCTCTCAAAGTACTTTCATAATGTGACTTGAAAAGTTTCAGTTCTTTCTCAGTTATTCAGCACAAGCAAATTAATTCAAATCCATTCATTTGAGTTGCTAGTTCCTGGTGACTGGTGATCACAGTGATCAAATAAAAGATATAAAACCTTTATAATAAGAAAAAATAATCACATTGTATGAATAAAAAAGGTATAAGAAGTAACTGTTTTGCATTACTAACCTTATGACCATTGAGAACAACAGTCTTTGCTCCAGTGGCGTTGCCAGCTGTAGTGGCGTAGGTATATGTGAGCTGGGGGATGAGGATGGTGCGCTTCGTGGTGGTGTTGAGGCAGCCCTGACCAGCGATGGCAACTAAGGTAGGAAGCTGTGCGGCAGTGACGATGTTAACAGCTCTTCCGGTCTGAGGTGTGGTCACATAGATGGTTCGACCCTCGAGCTCCTCCTTCCTTAAGCAGGTCAGGTTCAGAGGCTGTTCTTGCTGCTTGGCGGGAGGTGTAGTCATTTTGTTTTCCGATTCTGTTGCGATCTGTTTAGGAAGAGAGAGGTCCAGAGGTTCCGCCTGGGAGTCAGAAGCTTCCGGGTCTTCTGGCTCACTTTTAACGATGACAAGGTCCTCGTTGTTGAGTGATTCAGAGTCTGATGGGGAGGCGCTGCGAGAGTCTGACGAGGCTTTGTTGGATACCTCCTTGATTGTATTGTCTTCTTCTTCCTTTTCATTCTGATTCACAGTGACCTCTGAGCTGGAATTTGTGGCTTCAGTGTCTTTAGAAACTGAAGTTGAATCATTGTGGCGCTTGCTCACACTTTTCCCCGAGTTCATCTTCATAAACCACTTTCTAACCACATCCACTGGGATACTGACAGACTCTGAGATCTTTGTCAGCTCCTCATCACTGGGATTGGCGTTGGAGGCAAAGTATGTCTTAAGAAGTGAGAGGAGATCGACGACAGGCGGCTCCTCCAGGGTCACCCCTGCCTCGTTTAGCAAGGCGGCGAAAGATGGGTCCAAAGCAGCAGAGTCGACGGCCTCGCCATTGGCTGCTTTGCGATGCTGGAGGAGATGCAGCGCCTCCAGATTGTCAGGACAGTCATCGCAAAGTAAACATGTACTGGTGCTGTTGGGCTTTGGCTTCTGAGCTGCTTCTGAAGTTTTATCGGTTGCCTTTTCTGTCTGCGTGGATGCCTCCTTCTCCACATCTGCGATGGGGACTGCTTCCGGTTCTTTCTTGATAATCCTAAGGTCGGCCGCCTCTTGGGTTTGGGGTTTAGTTGTTGTGGTTGGAGTGGGAGCTGCAGCATCCACAGTCGTGATAGTGGGAGGCAGAGTAGGGTTATTTTTGACAACAAGCGGTGTAGGCTGGGCGGTGGCAGTTGTGGCAGCAGCAGGGCTAATGCTGTAGTTGATGATGATCTTGGTGGTACCGTCGTGATCCACGAAGGCAGGAAGGCTGATGATCTGTTGCTGCGGCTGCTGGACCACAATTCCCTGCTTCCCCTGCGTCACCACCCCATTGGCTGAACCCAGCACCTGCCTGAGCACATTTCCATCCATCGCCACCTTGAGCACATTCTGCAAGTCATTAAGATTGATACTGATGGGTGACATCAGACCTACTGTTGGTACAACCATAGCCACACCCTGAGGCAGGGTTGCAGCTGGGACCACAATCGGCTGTGCTGTTCCTCCGTTCACCACGCCGTTACTGCCGGCTGAAGTTGCCGGTGCCGCCGTCACAGGCTTGCACTCAATTTCCACAGGTTCTGATTTGATCTGGGTGACAGGCAGCTGCTCCTGGAGGGGTTTGCTTTCAGTCTTGTCTTTAAGAACCACACGAGCTGGAGCGATCACAACAGGTCTCGTCTGTGCAGGGGCTGGGGGGGACTTAATCGATGTTCGAGCAACACCGTTGGGGGGCGTAGCACCCACACACTTTTTGCTACTGATGTGGGAGCTGTAGGAGCCTGAGTGGGAGAACCGCTTCTTGCAGTTTGAGCATTCGTATGGTTTCTCACCTAAAAGTATCAGAGAGCGAGAGAGAAGTGACAAAACTTTCAAAGAGAAGATTCAAAACATGAAAAACCAAAAACAATTCAAATTTTTAGTAACTTATTTTGAAAAGTGTTGGGATTTGATACTGAGCCCAACTTACAGAATTGACAAATTGATTCATTACAGCAGAAAAACAGAGTTTGGTCACTCCGGCCATAAAACCATTTAAAAATACTTGTTATATGTAAAGGGTATTAACTTCCTTCTTTAAGGAAAGCAGGGCATTTAAACTTCCTTTGGTATGGCAACTGGAATGGACACCCATTACCAACCTGTAGCAAAAGATGATGCAGTAGGTCAGTGCAACCTTCACTTAACTAGATCAATTCATCAAAACACATTCCTATGTTCCCTTTTGAAGAAACAGGGATGGGGTAAAAAGCGTTTAAACAGCAGCACAGATCCAAAAAAGCTTTAAAGCCCCCGACTGATAAAACAAGCACTTTTATGAGACTTTATTAAAAAAAATGTACTGACCAATTTTGCACTAGAGGCCTCATGATGTCATATTTGGACAAACTGCATTAGTGTGTCTACAGCCCACTCTGATCTTAAGTGGGCCGGACGAGTGAAACGTCACTTTCTGTCAATGTAAAGACGTTTAACTACACATGTGACCCCTGAGAAATCTTAATATAAGATAAAGAAGTGCAATTTTAACACCACTTCTCAGTTTTTCTACACAATGAAGTTCACTGCCCAGACTGTCCTGTATTTATAAAAAATAAAGATTTGGTTGATTGATGAAAATGGTCTTTTTTTTTAACTAAACTTTTCTGTAATTTAGCTGTTTAACTCTTACTTAAATATTTTCTTTGTAGTATATATGGCTGTGGGGGAACTTTATCAGCAGGGAAAGCTGTAAAACTTGTTTGTCCTCTTACATATTTTCCAAAGCCGTCCAGCAGCCCATTCTGAGCCAATTAGAAGAAGAAGAAGAAGAAGAAGAAGAAGTACTTTATTGGTCCCCGTGGGGAAAATCGCTCTCTGCATTTAACCCATTCACTCAGTGAAGCAGTGGGCAGCCATTGGGCGGAGCAGTGTGTAGGGACGGTACCTTGCTCAGGGGTACCTCAGGGCAGCTGTTCAGGGGAATCGAACCCCCGACCTTCCGATCATGGGGCCACCACTCTACCTACTGAGCTATCCCTGCCCTTCTGGCATCCAGGCCTTATGTTATTGACATAGCTTACCAAGTGCACTAAGGAAATGCTCTATATTAACCAGCTTTAATGGAACACCTGAAATCTGGTGTCCATTAACATACACGGTGCCAATTAAATACACGAACGAAAAAAACAACCTAAAATTTTCAGTCGGTTAATGTGTACATTTAATGAAAATTATTAGTCAGTTGTAAATGCAGTAATTGCAGACAAATGTTCGATGATTAGAGGCCTGCAGTTTGGAACAGCTACACAGGTTGTAGCACACTGTGCATGTGTGCAGCAGCTCACCGCTGTGAATGCGCAGGTGCTCCTTCAGGTGGTGTTTGTATTTGAAGGCCTTGGAACACTCGGTACACTTGAACTTGCGAGTTCCACCTGTTCCTACCGATCCTCCTGTTGACTGCGAAACGTGACGCTGAGTCAGAAAAGAAGAAGGTCTCTATTATTTTTCTGTGTCGTTCAGTTCTTTTAATATCAGATGAATATTTCATAGGAATTCTGTGTGAAAGCTTTAACATTTTTGAAAACTGTAGCTCGAAGGTTTGAAAGGAGCACTGGGGACGTGTTTTTGCTTACATAACAGACTGAATCTCATGCATAATAAATCAAAGTGCACAAAATTTTAAAACCGAAAAAGAAATATCAGTGAATTAAAGTTGAACAACATGACAAAATGTTCATCCTAGTGATCCTGAGGCAGAGATTTGAGTCTGGGTAACAGTTTCACGTATCAGACCTGATTTCGCTCTTAGTTTGGCGCATTGCGTCTTCGGTTCTCATCCTAAGAGGTGTTACCTGCTCTCTGGAGCCCCTGTGGTGGCTCATGTGCCTCTCCAGCTGCGAGCGATAGGTAAAGGTGTAGCTGCAGTGCGAGCAGCTGTAGTTATCCTCACTGGTCTCGTGGCGATACTTGATGTGTTCCTTCAGTGAGGCGTTGCGTTTGTAGCCCCGGGAGCAGTAGGGGCAAGTGTGCAACTGGGAAAAAGAATCAGGTGTTCCTGTGGTGGAAGAGAAAGGGAAACGTGGATGATAGATGATGCTTCATTTTTTTTTCTTACACTTCATATGAAAAGCATGTCTAACAGCTCCTCCTCCTCCTACACCTTTCTGATGTTGGTTAGCTCATTTCCTTAACTTTGCTCTCCAGCATCCACAACTCTCCATACAGTAACTAGCCAGCTGGATGGAAGGAAAAAGTGACATTCCTGTGCATCTACCTCTGGTTTTCCCAAACATTTTTTGTGTTAAGTCCAACACATAAACGAAATATTTTGGATATAAACAACATAGTTTCCCCACTCTCTGTATGGAGGCCTGACAATAACCTGCCCTTCATAAAACCTCTCTAGACTGTATAAGTTTTACTATTGTCTTTGCCCTTAAATCTTCCTTAAAGCTATAACAAGCCAGCTACTGTTATTATTTCAGCATTTATGCCTTTCTCGTGCTCCAGAACATTCAGAGCTTCCTCCAAGTAAGTAATGTTCTTTGACCTGTGCTATCTCAACTTTATCCTCAACTTCACCAGCTGCTAGTGGAGCACTCAACACTTGAGTTTAGTGGTTATGCTTTGGAGTTTGAACCTTAGTGTCTCAACTGTAAATGGCAGATTTGTGTGACAATATCTCACTTTTCTGATTGTATCTTTTATTATAACCTCAGAGGTCCATTATCAAGAAAATGTGTTCTGAGATCTTCAGTGTTTGAAATAAAAGCTCTGAAAATACAGCCGTTTGTTATCCACCCCAACAACTAGTTTACCTGTCAGCTTTTCAAACAATTCACAATCCCACTTATTTACTGCTCACTTCTGAGGTGAGTACTAAGCTGAGTATAGCATGCTATGAACTCCAGAATGCTGAGCAGGAAGAAGTTGGAAATTTGTAGTACTTGACATCAAAGAATTTGAAATTTTGACACAGCAATAGTAATACCTGAACATCTGCATCATGACATTCAGTATAATATGTGATGTTGGCGTGTTACCGTTTTCATCGGCTCCTCCCGTCTCTGTCGGACTCTGCTCGTCCTCGGGGGCTTCAGGATAGATGATGGCTGTGTCTCCCTGCTGGAGAATCTCCTCCACTAGAGCATCCTTCTCCACCTCCTCTTCTTCCTCTGATGCACACTCCTCCTTCACTAAAAACACAAATGCACAAAGGTTAGTGTTGCTGTACACAAAGAACCCAATTATCCACCACGGACAGCACTACAGATACAGACAGACTGAATGACTTTGTTTAAATCATTTTAAACGACTTATTTTCTCTGTGAGGAATCCCTTCTATGAGTTAATGCTTGAAGTACCACCACTAGAGGGCGCCATATAACTTGTAAATGATTTGATAACGGGCTCATCACTTGAGCTATCGTTGTGCACTTTGTATTCTCAAAAAACATTTGTTGGGCAATTTAAAAATGGCATAGCTGCCGAACATTATTCTTAAAGAAACCTGGACTAGTTCTGCTAACAATGTTCAGAGATCCCTAAAATCAGAAGATTCTAAATTTGGGAAGTTGTAGCTACAATGCTGTGGAAAACTATGGAGCAGCTTGTTTTAGCAGCAGTAACTTGAAGGGATCATTTATTGTATGACTTTATCAGTCTCTCTCGTCATTGTGGAGGAATTTGTGCCCACTCTTTTTTACAACATTCCTTCAGTTCATTGAGGTTTGTGGGCATTTGTTTATGCACAGGTCTCATAAGTTCCTGCTACATCATTCAGGTTGAGTTTTTTTCTTTTTCAGCCATTACGATGTAGTGTACATAAGATCATCCTGTTGCATGACCCAGTTTCATCCAAGCTTTAGCTGCTGGACAGAGCTCACATTTGGCTCTAGAATTCTTTGGTACACAGAGTTGACTCAATGACTGCTGGGGCTGAAGTCCCGTGGCTGTAAAACCACCCTAAATGATCACCACTGTGTTTGACAGCTGGTATGAGATGTTTGTGCTGATATGCTGTGTTTGACTTTCATCAATGTGGCACTGTACATTCAGGCCAAATATCTTGGGCTTGTATATCCAAAGGACACTGTTCCAGGAGTGGTCTGTTCACATGCAACTTTGCAAACGTAAACGAGAAGGGGATGGCTTTCTCTTGGCAAACCTCCAAAAAAACCATACACATTCATGTTTCTCTAACCGTACAGTCAAGAACTTTGCAGACCTCAGTTAGCATGGTTGATGTCAATGTCTGCCACATAGCTCTTGGGCTTTTTGCTGTTTATTTGCATCTTGACATTGGCATGAATTTGCTTCAGACCAGCAAACTGCTAAAACATCTGCTTGTATCCAAAGCGGTCACACTTGCTGATGATCCGTTAATCAAGAGCATTTGATTAGAAGCACTTGATAGCTTCTTACCCTCCTAATTAATATAGAAGCAGTAAGGACATAATTAGAAAGCTCTGACGTGAGTATGCAGACCAGTGAAAAACTGAGCCACGCGACTGTAATGCTGACCAAACATACAGCATGAACCTCTGTAAATGTTATCATATTTAAATATTGGAAAAATAAACTAAACACACTTGAAGTAATTAGAATTAACACTCTACTACAAAGTCCCAGCACATACTGTTCGCTAAGATGAAATAAAATCAAACCTTATTATACTGAACTTTTAAAAATTAATTTGGAGCCAAATATTAGACAGACCAAACCGTACTGTGATGCTGTACTGTCATGTTACTTAGGACAATATTAAAAACGGAAACCATTGCTTCCTGCATACCTGCTAATATTCATACATCTTTAATCAGCTATAGCTACAGCCAGCTTATGTGGCTGCAGCAGCTGAACTGTTAGCGATGTTTGAGTTCACTTGGAACAGCTGGTTTGCTGCACAGACACAGACAGTATGTTTCCCTGCAACCATAATGAGCCTTACAAAGAATAATTACAGCCCTGGGCGTGATTCAAACGTGGCACTTCAGAGGGAAATGAGTCAGGGACGTAACAGTGGCACCACACTGACAGTCTGTCCTCTACCCAAACACTCCCTCTCATTAAACCAAACACACTCCTCTATTCAAATTAACCTTAAGTAGCCGACATGGAACAAAACAGACAGCAATGAATATGCTCAGGCAAACTTGGCATCTACAAGTGCTTCAAAAAAGCACTGCGTGCAATTTTATATCAAATGCATTTTGAAAAGATGGTGACCTGAATGCAAGTAATAATTTGCTGTTACCTGTTACTTCAAATGTTTGCAGAGCACCATCAAAGAAATGGCAAAGAAGGCCAAGCCACTTAATTGAAGGAATCAGTTTAGGATCAAAGGCTTCCTCATTCCTATTTTTTTTTGCCTTTTTTTCTTAAATATGCGAAGACTGTGACGCATTTTCCAACACTCGTCTTATTTTTTCCATCCACGATCATTCACAGCATACAGTTAAACTAGACAGCCATGCAGATAACACTTCAGACTGCAGAAGAAACAGAGTAACACTGCACCGCCTGTTTATAACACAAGGTCCCCGTTAAGTAATTGAAGTCTCAACACCAATCTGAGATAATGCTGATGGCATGATTTATTTTTCCACTAACCCCCAGCCCCATCTGATTTACTTGTTCAAGTACACTAAACTCCTCTGTAAAACTGGTAGAGTGGTGAAAGTGAGTCTAATGTTAAGGCATGCATAATAAGCAGATTATCTACTCATTTAAATAGCCAGTTGTTTGATTCCTGACTTCTACAGTCAGCATGTAGAATAACTTTAGGCAAGATACAAATGCATGAATGTGTGTGGCTGAATATTCCTTTGAGCAGTGCACTGATAAATGGATGCATAGTATATACTGTACAGTATACAGTGATTTTCTTTATTTTAGAGCTCAGTCAGGGTTTTATTCTTGATTTTTTGCAGTTACAGCATTTTTTGTGTGCATATTGCTCTAAGCAGGATTTCATCCCTCTGAGACAAAGACTCTTGCCGCTCTTCCCTTGATCAGATCGGATGCTGTGCTAAGTGCAAATATCATAACAAGTGTAGAAGAGGAACTTAGGCAGAGCGCTTACTTCACTTTCTGAGTATAAAAACACTGATAAGAGAAAGCAGTGAGGTGAAACTGTGACCAGTGTTGTCATGGTGCTCAAGTATTTTAAATGCAGGCAGAATCAGCAGGAAAGGCCACGCCTCTTCCTGCTGAGCCGTGTCAGGGACAGGTGCAGCTGCGTGTGTGTGTAGTCAGCAGGATCTGCAATCACAGAACCAGTCATAAAAAGAAAAAGAAAGGAGGGGTCTATGCTGAACTGTGTGTGTGTGTACGCCTTTATAAAGAATAGGCGGGCCCAGGCCGAGCCCTGTTAAGCCTCATATTAAACACACAGATCTTTACTTCCCATGATCTCATCCAAAAGCTTTCCAAATCTCTTTTCCCCCTCTGAGACTCGCTCATCTACCCTTCAAGCTTCCTTCCCCACCTCTCTTTGCTCATTCCTTTCTCTTATAGCCTCTTATATCGTCATTTTCTCCTTATCTTAGTCCTTCCTTCAGTTTATTTATGTAGCTCACTAACATGTACAGCATTCAGCATCGTCTGTCTTTAAACTCTTCAATGAAAAAAGGGAAAAACTTCACTCCTCGAAAAAAAAGAAACCTCAACTAAAAGGAAAACATGAAAAAGACTTCAAGAAGAGCAGAGCAGAGGAGTCTCTTAAATATGCCCTCACTAAGCAAGCTAAAAACACATTTTGGCCCCCTGGCATTTGAAAGCCGAGCTCTTTGAAAACAGTCTCCATTTAGGAAAGTGCAGGGATGAATGTGAAAATGCTGACCTTGACTGACTGCAGACCTTTGTGTCAGTAAAATCAAGGACACAGGTCGACTCTGACTCTGATTTTAAACATAAATACTTCTAGTTACACAATGCAGCTCCATTAAGCCATTTCCATGATGATTTTGGGGGCTTTTACTATAATACTGTGTCAAGGTTGACTGCAACAGCTGACGAGTTCCTGCCGGATTAATGTGTCGTATTCATCAGATGCAATTCACAGTTTTCTAATTGTTCAACTATTAAACAGTCAAAAGTGTCACAGCTTCCATAAACGACTTGTGCATCGTTCTTATGCATGTAAGCATGTGTCCACCTACCGCAAAGGCAACAAGTCTGATAACATATGTGGCAGAATCTTATTTCCGATCATTTGATGAACAAATATATCGCTCTATGCTGAACCCCTATTCGTGGCGGTAGTTAACAAAATGCAGTGCAGTGTTGGGTATTTTCATTTGGCTCTGGCTGAAACCGTTTTGCAGAGGTTACCAAAAATAAAGACCCCGCTAAAGAGTAAGCGAACAACAGTTTGGAAAATGGCAGGTTTAGCAAGCTGAGACTACTTATTTACTGAGTCATTATTTAGAGAACTTTACAGCCACAATAAGATTATTTCCAACTGTCCCTAAGCTGCAGAAAGTTGCAGGTCTTAAAGATTTAATTGAGAAAGGATGTCACTTTCTGTTAAACAACTACTTGATTAACACATACATGTTTACGGATTAAAAAGGTTTAAGCTGCAATACTATTCTTTGTTCGTTTGCCATTCAAAAAAGAAGAAACAAACATGTTCTATTTTCAGCTCACTACACTTGGCTGCATTGCTGTCATGTTTTCTTTTTAAATTAGCTTCCTCCTCTCCCTTTCTGTCTTTGTCGCTTCCTCTTCCTTCTCTTCAACCACGTTACCAACTGCTTGTTTCCTCAATCTCTCCCCTCCCCACAATTTCTTTAATCTAACTTCATCTCCCTCCCTCCTTCACTTACTTTATTTCCCTCCATCACCCCTTCGTTCCAATCCCCCCCTCACTTGATACACCTCTCTGCATATTTTCCCACCACACTCTACAATTACACTTAATGCCTCACAAAAAACATACATGCTGTAATGACAACCAGGACCCTGCAACACACACATGTGGAATATCAGAATGGAATGAAAACAGGAAATCATGTGGTTCGCACACACGCAAACACACACATACACTTGCATACTTACACCAGCCGAGTTATTCACAGGCACATGCACTCTCTGCACACAGCACTCGTATACCTTGCCAGAACCTGTCACTGTGAGTCCGTGGTGAATTTATAAGGCAGGATGGATTGGAGCTGCAGTGCGGCCTAGACTG